CCGGCTGCATTTGGACATTCCCAGATCCTCTTATCTCTTCCCAGAAAGTCTGCTGTTTGTGAGATATTGTTTTAAGCAGAGGAAGGACAAGCACTGCAGCATATGCAAAGAACCACTATCTTTTCAAAAGAATACTGAGGCAGAATAAATGAAGAGCTGTTGCTTTGCAATTGTATCGGGTGCTACAACAATATACTGTATTTCCCCACCTGGATTCAATACACTAATCCCCTGGTAGCTACACTTTAAAATATTTACACCAGTATGGACATATTGTAAGATTCCTACCTTTGCTGTTTGCACTGCAGCTCTGGGATCTATATTGTTTTATACCCACTGTTTCACAGTGCTCATATGAAGAAATGTTCTGAGCTCAGTGAACCCCAGGAGGGAGTGGAAAGGGGTCAAGCTTTTTCTTATGGAGGAGACATTCATCCAGCATGCTTTTGGGTTCAAGGTTATTTCAGGCCAGACAGTAAAAAAAAAATAAAATAAAATAAAATAAAAATAAAAAAATCTAGCCCCTATTTAACACATCCCCTCCCTTTTATGTCTCTTCTCTTGGGACAACTCTAACTCAACCTCCCCAATTCCCTAGAAAGTACCATCAACACAGGTCATGATTATTTTCTACCATGGAAGTTTTATCCATGGATCCTGAAAGGGCGAGGGCTACACCCTCCATCTTGCCCCAGGGTAAGGGCTACGCCCACCATCTTGCTCCAGGGTAAGTGCTCCATCTTACCTTGGCCATGTGCTTGGCAAGGAGCTTCCCGGAAGTCTAAGCCTCTGCTAGCCACACCCAGGAACAAGACACCGACTTGCGCCTGGCCAATCGGCAAGGCCACAGCCCTTTCTCCTCCCCTTACTCCAACCCCCTATAAAACCCCTCTCCACACAGAGTTCTCTCTCTCTCTGCTTCCTGTCGCTGCGTCGGCAAGGTGGGGGAGCCGAGCTAGCTTGAATAAAGACTCTTATGCTTTTGCATCGGACTGGCTCCCTGATGTGGGTTCTTGGGGATCCTGAAATCTGGGCATAACAGACCCCTGACCATATCACCTCCTCATTTACTGGGGACAGATGTAACAAGTGATTTCTGTCCATTACTTTGGTGACTGTTCAACATATAAGCTCTTCTTCCACTGTCCTGTGCTTTTCTTCCAATTACCAGACTTTTCCTTTCTCCCCTGCCTCACAAACTTTTCTTTGGTGCACACGCTTATCCTATATCCACAACTCCCTATGCCCTCAGCCCTTTAATGAATATCACCACCACATTCTTGCTATAGCTGGTGCTTGACTCGCCCTGAAGACACTGTTTCCCCCAAGTGGAGGCATCCCAATTCCCCACCTCCAGGAACTTGGGAGCATACTCCCCATCATTAAAATTGTTTCCAAGTCATGAATCCTCTTCTTTCTCATGTAAAAATCATTACCCTTTTGAGACTTGGGACATCTGACTAAATCACCTCTCCTCATCTTACTCTTTTGCTAAATTCCTAGGTTTGCTCCTCATTTTTACCTGGCGTACAGTCTTATTCTCCTCCCCAAGCCTCATCTCCATTGTGAGTTACTCTTCTGTTCACATGGATCTTCCTTACAACACCCTGACCAATTGAGCTTTTGATCTCTTATCCAATGTCCTTCACCTTTCCCCACTTCGGCTCCTAATTCTAATTATCCCATACTCACTGACATTCTCAGATCATGCACCTCTATACTTTTCAGCCTTCTCAAACATGAGGTCCACAGCTTCTGTTCTTCAGCCTCATCAAGAGCTTCAATCCCTCTCCTGTTCTTTCTGTCCATCAACCTCCTCCCACCTTTACTGCTTTCTCATCCAACTTACACCCCATTACACATCACTTCAGTTTAATATTCTTGCCTGCCTGTCCTCCTATTTCACGTGCCCAGCTGCATCCCAACCTTAGATTAATCTAGTTATGGATTTTCTCAGTTCTTGCCTCTCACAACTGATGATTCTGGTGAATATTACACAGCCAAGTGTATTCATGCCACTCAAATCTTATGGCCTCCAAACCCATTCTTGTCTTTTCAAGGTTTGTCCAAATTATTGACTCCCTTTTCTCTGATTTTATGATAAGCCACCCCTGCTTCTAATGAGCATTTTTGGGGGTCTGATATGAGTCCACCCAGCATGCTTGTCAGTTCCTTCCACCCTTCATGAGATTGGTCTCATTTAGAATTTCCCTCATGAAGGGTGGAAGGAACTGGCAATCATACCAGATGGACTGATAAACAGGGAAGGTTGGGTCATCCAATCAGAAAAGAGGAAGTTAGGATGACACATAAGCACAAGACCACTGACTTGAAAGCATAGTTTTGCTTAACAGGAAAGTTTGGGAAGAGAAACACCATTCTATTTAATAATTTTATTTCCTTAGTAACACAGAAAACACATGTACATAGACATTTATTACTTTAATCAAATGATTTGGAGTTTGTAACAATGCATGATATGCATCAGAATCCAATGAGACTGGCAACATTTCTCATTTAAACAAAACATGCAGTCCTTATTTTAATCCTGCAGTTTTTAAGCAACATTGGCTATCTTAAACTAGAACTGAATCACTCATAAAAGAGCTATAAGACATCATTATCTGCCTCTAAACTCTTTTATGCCAAATCCCTCACTTTGCTTCCAGGGTTATTTTCCTAAAACACAAGTCAGTTTGAGGAACTTTCCTTCTCAAAACATAAGTGGCTTCCCACTGCCTTGGGAGCACATTTCTAGCACAGTGTTCCAAATTCCCAGGATGTAGCACCTTTCTGCTTCTCTTGGTTCATCACCCAGAGCGTCTCTGAATTAATCATTACTCTCCTTCCAAAGCTTTGCTCAGGTTGTTCCTGAAGCTTGTTTTGCCCTTCCCCATTGCTCTGCATTTTAAGATCCTTTAGTCCTCACTCTACTGTGCCCTCTCCCTGAATCCCCTATTAATACGCCAATCTGAAGTCCTCTGTGCCTCCATGGAACTCATCAAGCTCTGTCACACTCAACTGCTGCATATTGCCTAGTGTGGTAGCTATTTGAACTCTGATCTTCACTGCATTACAATCCACTTATTTAATACTTTCTTGAATTTCTTATGACAGTGATTCTCAAACTTCAGCAAGTATCAGAATTATGTGGTAGGCTAGGTAAACACAGATTTCTGGGACCCAGAGTTTTTGATTCAGTAGTTCTGTGGAGAGAACCAAGAATCTACATTTCTAATAAGTTTCCAGGTGATGCTGAGGCTGATGCTGCTGATCAGGGACCCCGCCCCTGCACTGTAGGGTCTAGCATAATACCTTAAACATAGTAAGCTCAACAAATACTGGATAAGTAGGTAGGTGATAGAGCCATACTATAGATTGAAAATTCAGGTGCTTTATTAAGACTTTGAGCAGTGTTGACACCAAGCATGTGCTGTCTGTTTCTTGGTGGTCCCTAGACGATGCTCATTTCATGCTTCCTAAGCCTTGACATTGAATGTTGGCCTTTTCTCTTTGCCTGGTCAGATCTAAGGCTCAGTGGTATTAACTTTTTTTTTTCAATGTACACATGACTTTTTTTTCCCTCTCACTCTCTTTTTGGGAAAATGGGAGAGATTAGAGTTGCTGCCACCCAGAGGTCAGAATAAGTCAATGAAACTGATAAATTATCGGAGAATCAATCTATATCCGGATGTAGGAAGCAAGGTTTTGTAAGAGAATTATGTTTCTAAACATCATTTATCTGCTTTAAGAGATTTAAATAAAAAATAGATCTAAGCCTCTAGAGAGTCAACTGGGTTATTCCTGGGTCCAGACAACCTTCTAGTGTGGAGGTGGAGGCTGGCCGTGAGGGTGGAGGGGACTGTTCACCCTGGCCCAGCATCAGCATCATCTAGGACCGTGTTAGAGATACATGGTTCTATACCAAGAATGTGCTGAATGAGAAATTCTGGGGCTGGTGCCCAGAAATCTTTATTTCAACCAGCCCTCTAGGTGATTATGATGTAGGCTAACATTTACAATCACTGCTAGTGTTTAGTTATCAGCAAATTAGGCAAGCCTCCAAACGTTAATGCTCTTTTCAATGACTATCACCAAATCATAAGCAAGTAGTGCTTTTGGCCAAATTCTGTAGATTTTCCAAAGTTGTTTTTGATGATAAAAGGTCTTAATTTTTGGAGAGATTTTAGAAAATGCAAAAGCATGGAGTTTTTTGCTAGTGTATTTTTTTATTTGGAAGTTTTGTTTTGAATGTACATTTGAGAGCAAACATTTAAATCATAATATAGAAAAGGCTTTGCTATAGAAGTTTAGAGTTGAAAGATCACTTGAAATATCAGATCTAATCCTTATTTTAGAGTTGATAAAAGAGGCTTGGATGGTTGAATCTCTGGGACCCCAGAGCACTGTTCATCATGCTGTCTCTGTCTTCCATGAGGCAACCCCCACTCCCACTGGGTTTGTGCATAAGAAAGGAAAGGTTAAATAATAATTATAATAATAACAATATTAATAACAACAATAATAAATAGTGTTTTTCATTTACCTTGGTCATCATTTACCTTACCCTATAAAACAATACCCATGTATAAAGTCTCCATACAGTAATTCAGAATTTCTCTTTCTTTGGATCTCCGTAAGTTATAATTTTCATTTAATTATATATATGTTGAAGTCATGAGCTATCCTTTGAGACTCTGATCATATTTTAGAATCATATTTATTCTGGAAATATTCTCCTCACCCAATGCACACACCACATCCATACACATCACGTGATTCTGAATCCAATT